CAGCCTCTCACAGAAAGACAAAGGCAAACCTCCTCTGGACAAGAAAACCAAGAAAACTCAATGACAGAGTTGCCTCAGGGCTGCCAAAAGTAAAAAAAAAAAACAACAACTTGTAGGCACACAACTACAACAACAACCATCACCAGACAAACCAGACCTCCAAGCTTTGAGTTTAGAACAGAGCATGTCCCTGCTAGTTCACAAACCAGGCCTTAAGTCACAACTTGCTTTGTTGTTGTCAGTCAGTTTTTTCCAAAGGAAGCATTACCTAGAGACCAAAGGGATCCTAGCAAGTTCTAGTTCTGTCACACCAAGAGAGAAGATGCGAGTGCAAATTCCCTACCAGCCCTGAAACTGCCTTCAGCGAGTGTGGGTTGATGAATCGCCAGCAAATAGAACAAAACAGCTCAGGCTGTGATGAAGACAACTCCGCCAGAGAAACAGGTTTGGCCGGGTCAGGGCCTGCATCACATTGAGCACTTCTAGGATCTCCCCAGAGTCAGATGTCACACTAGCCAGGTGAGATGCAAGAAGCCGATAATTTTAAAAAGCCAAGATTTTTACCCCAAACTTTTTGGGTCCGAAAAGCTGGGAGAAGGAAGGAACACAACCCTGTGGGCTTGGTTAGGTTCAGATAGCGGGGGGGGGGGGGGGGGGGGAGTGGATTTTTGTTCCCACTCAGCGATGGAAACCCACCTTGGACAAGCCACATTCTCTCAGCCTCAGAGGGAGGCAGGCCATAGCAAACCCCTTCTGGACAAATCTGGCCAAGAAAACCCATGAAAATTTTGCTTTAGGTTCACCAATGTCAGAAATGACTTGAGAGAGCCAGTATGGCATACTGGTTTGAGTGTTGGACTACGGCGCTGGAGACCAGGTTTCAAATCCCAGCTCAGCCAGACTCTGGGGGAGTCACACTCTCTTAGCCTCAAGGAAAGGCAATGGCAAACCTTCTCTGAACAAATCTTAGCATCTGCAAGATGGGATTAGGGGATTGCTGTCCTTCTCTGGAGACCAAGGTTCAAATCCCAGCTTGGCTATGTACTGGGTGACCTTGGGCATGTTACACTCTCTTAGACTCAGAGGCAATGGCAATCCTTATCTCAAGAAAAAAAGGTAAAATAGTCCCTTGACATGAATGTCTTGTCATAATCAACTGTAGAGGAAACTCAAGAAACTTGCCAAGAAACCCCTATGATAGCTTACCTTAGAGTCAAGATGACTTGAAGGCATATAACAAAACACAAAAAATAACAACTCATTTGCACCCATCTATGCCCCCGATGCTTTTACTTGGAAGCTGATTTTGGGAGATCCTGGAGTAAAAGAAACTGAGGCACAGAAGAAATTTAGAAGATGAAGAAGATATGTAGACAATACAAAAGGCATTTAGAAGATGCAGAAGAAATTTAGAAAATGCAGAAGAAATGTAGAAGATGCAGAGAAAATGTAGAAGATACAGAGGAAATGTACAAGATGTAGAAGAAATTTAGAAGACACAGAAGAAATGTAAAAAATAAATCTTTGGCAAACCCCAAAAGAGCAGGCAGCCTTTTGCAGGCACCTTGAGGACTAGGAGACTGACTGATGATGACAAAAAGCTTTTTCACAGATCAGACGGAGCAACCCAGAAGGACACAGCAACTTGCAAATTCCTAAAATTCTGCATTCACCTGGAGTGCAAAGCTTGCAGGCAAATAATATGTAATAGGCAGAAAGCGAGGAAGAATCCTGTACCAGGAATGGAAAGGACGATTTAAAGATGGATTTAACAGGGGAGGAGAAGAGAGAGTGGTTAGGGCTAGCTTTCAATTATACGCACACAATAACATCTCCCTTGGCTGAGCTTTCAGCTTTTAAATCCTCAAAGCTTCCTAGGCATTTGAGCAAAATAAATAAAATTAAAATTGGAAACCCAGCCCAGCTCTAAATGCTAGTCCTTTTGGTATCTTCTGGAAGGCAGACACTTTTAGCTCCAACGTCAGTGCATAGACCCCCCCCCCCCCCACACTTTTGCAAAATAAATAAGGGGGCTGAAAGTTTAAGGCAGGAAGCAAGCCAAGCATTAAAAGGCTACAAAGTCCCAGCTGTTGTTGCAATGGCTCACTCCTGGGTACCCGCTTCTAAGATCTCCTCCCTTTTGCAAAACACTCACCTGGACCCAGGAATTACCCCTTTTTTCCACCCCCTTCCTCGTCCCCCCCCCATAAGTTCAGCTGACAGCAGGCAACCAAGTGGATAGGCTGGATCAGCTGCTTGTCAAAGCTTGAACAGACTAACCTCCACCTCCTTTTGCATCAGAAGCCTCTTAAAGGGAAAGAAACAAGAGTTAGGAAGAAGTTGACATTGCATGCATCCACATTGCAGAAATTAGAGCACTTTGGCACCACTTTAAGTGCCATGGCTCCAACCTGGGATCTGTACCTTGGTGAGGTATTCAGCCTGGTTTGCTTGAGAGAGCTCTGGTGCCTCACCGAACTACAAATCCCAGGACTCTGTAGGAGTGAGTCATGGCAACGCAGGGTGTTGTTGTTGTTGTTGTGTGCCTTCAAATAATTTCTGACTTATGGGGACCCTAAGGCAAACCTATCACAGGGTTTTCTTGGCAGGATTTATTCAGAGAAGGTTTGCCTTTGCCTTCTTCTGAGGCTGAGAGAGTGTGACCTGCCAAAGGGGGGGGGTCATGGCCAAGTTGGGAATTGAACCCTGGTCCCCAGATGACTATTCCAACACTACACCATGCTGTCTTATTAGTGTTGTTGTTGTTATTAAATTGACTTCAATTTTATGGTACCCTTCTAGGATCCAGAAGAAACATGTCAGAATTCCAAAACTACAAGTTTCCTGACCCTGTTTTTTAGATCTGTTAGTATAGAAAGGGCAAGAACATAGCCCTTCATGGGGTGGTTTTTGGATTACAACTCCCATCAACCTTCCCCACTGGCTGGGACAGATGGGAGGGGAGTTTAGGTCCTTTAGGGCCTATTTATTTAAGGCCTGACTATTGCCTACAATGGATCCTCCTGATTCAGAGACAGTCCACCTCGGAGCTCTGCAAGAAGATAAAATAAAAAGCCAGAGCCTGTTCCCTTCATGGCTTCTGGAGAAAAGTCATGGAGAGACCTTTGCCCTGATCTGGGGAGGGAATCAATTTCCTAGGTTTTTAAACAAATATGCAAACTCACGATTACATACTCACAGAGAGAATCAAGTTATATATTAACTGGGAAAAGGTTCAATGCTTGAGATTTCCTCTCTTCAGACAGGCAGCAGGGTGTTTTGTGTCCATTTTCCAACTTTCCTCTTTACAATTTCAGGCATGAAAAGTAGCCTACAAATAAGAAAATACAAAGAGCTACAATAAAGATCAATCATATTGAATTATCATCACCAGCATGCCACACACAAAAGGGTTTGAGAGGACTTTTGGTTCATAAATATGTGATTCACTTCCAGGCACTTTCCCCTCTATTGGGCTTACTCTCAGGTACTGTTTCAAATAATAATAATAGTAATAATAATAATTTGATAATTAATAGTAAATAACTTTTGAACGCATTCAAAAATATTAATGAGAGCCAGGGAGGAGGAGTGCTTTGGGAGTCAGACAGGTTCGAATCCCATTGGCCATGGAAACCCAATGGGTGACCTTGGGCTGAGTCACACCATCTCAGCCTCAGAAAATGCCATGACAGGTCCCCAGGGTGACCAGAGGTCCTCCTTTTCCAGGGCATACCCTACATTCCAACCATGAGGTTAGGAAGTAATTAATTGTCATTACTGTTGTTATGAACTATTGTGGAAGGAAGTGCACTCTGCACATGCCCAGGAACCCTGAAATGTGAGTTATTCTTCCCTTATAATTGCCTGGGTGGCAGGAGAGGCGCTCTGAATATGCTCAGGAGCACTGAAAGGGAGTTTATTCTTCCCTTATTATCGCCTGGAGGCAAAGAAATGCACTCTGCACATGTTCACAGGCCCTGAATAAGTAGTTATTTTCCCCCTACAATCGCCTGAGTGGCAGAAGAGGCACTCTACCCATGCTCAGGAGCCCTACCTGGCCGCCCCCAAACAACCACATTCTGCCCATGCCCAGGAACCCGAGCGTTCCCTTTTTATACCAGTCGAGCTCTAAGAGAGGCGGGGTCATCTCCCACTTTTCCACCAATCAAAATTTTCCACCCTCAACGGTTACACCAATCAAACCTTCGCACCCGCCCACCTTTCCACCAATCACAACACGGCAAGGGCGGGATCGCAGGAGGAACGCGGAAGCAGGCCTTGTTGCCAAGGTAACCCTCGCTCCCCCCCCGCACGCACCACACACGCACGGCGTCGGCGCGACGTCCTTACGTCACCACGCCCCTACCCGGAAGTGAGCCTGTGCCTATGGGAGGCGACGACGGGAGTGGGGAGCGCTGCCTCTCTCCGATGGTCCTTCTCTCCCACCTCAGTCTCTGCCTCCCTCCGCTTGCGCTCCCTTCAGGCATGTGAACCGCTGGTTTGGAAAAACTCCCCTCAGGTACGGCGGTGGGCGGGGCCTCGGCGGCCGTTGGGGCTGAGGGGGCGGGGTCTTGCCCGCAACGGTTGCCTCAAGGGGTGGGGCCTTGGAGGAGGGGGCGGGGCTTCTCTACCATTGGGTATAGTGGAGAGGAGGCGTGGCTTTGGGATCGTGAGGGAGGGGCTTTGCCTCCTGGGAGGCGGGCCTATCATGGGGGGGTCATTCTGACTAAGAGACCCAATGTGGGCGGAGCTTATTTTGTGGGGAACTTGCGTTGTGGGAGGAGTTTCTTAGCTTTTAATAGGGGTACATTTTGGGGTAAGAAAGGGGTTGGGGGGGGGGAACCAGACCATTTTGGGATGCCTGCCATAAATAAGGTTGCCAGGTTGTTATAATCTGATTATTGTTGTGTGCCTACAAGTCCAGGGCTGTTGGGTTTTTGCCTTCCTCTGAGGCTGAGAGAGTGTGACTCGCTCTAGTTTATCCAGTGGGTTTCCATGGCCAAGTGGGGATTCGAACCCTGGCCTCTGGAGTCGTCGCTCAACACTCAAACCGCTGCACCACGCTGGCTCTCAGCTCTTACAGTAAAGAAGTAAAATGTTTGCCCAAAACTAAGAGGGCTGAGAGAGTGTGACTCACCCAAGGCCACCCAATAGGTTTCCATGGCCGAGCGGGGTTTCGAACCCTGGTCTCCAGGATCAAACTCATCGCTATGCCATGCTGGGTCTCTTTTATAAGAGGTGTCCCTTCTTTGAGGGTCAGAAAGCTTGTCCCTTATGGGACTGGCAACTGTCCTTTGTTTATAAGGGATGTCCTTTATTTCAGGGCCAGGAAGCTTGTCCCTTATGGGGCTAGAAGATGTTCTTTATTATAAGGCAGCTTTTCTCTTATGGGGCTGACATAAGTCCCTCATTATAAGGAATGCCCATTATTTGAGGCCCAGGAAACTGGTCCCTTATGGGGCTTGAAAATGTCCCTTATTATAAAAGATGTCCCTCATGAGGCTGAGAGGCATCACTTATAATAAGGAGTGTCCCTGATGTGAGGAGTCTGAAAGCTTGTCCCTTACAGGGCTGGAAGATGTCCCTTATTTGCAGGTCAGAAAGGTCACACTTTACAGGGTTGGCAAATGAAGCATTTGGGGAGCTGTAGTTCCAAAAAGTAACTTTCTTTTCTTCTGATTTCCCACATTGGCATGCCAAACCAATGATTATCTTTGGTTCACTGGGGATTTGGTTTTTAAAAACTTCTGGGATTTGATTCTACGGTGACGTGGAGAAAGCAGGGTGCAGCTTGGCTAGCTTACTTGTGAGGCTAATTCTGGCAGCATTTTCATTCTAAGAACACCTCCCTTCTCTCTCTCAAATGTCTTTCTCCTCTGGGTGCATCACAATTGCCAACATTGGTTCTTTGAAGCTGATGCAGAGAGCTCCCTTGACTCCTCGCTCATCCTTTTTCCACCTTGGCCTTTCTTGACAGGCTGTGAGCCCCTCAGATGATGGAGCCCACCGCCTCGGGCGTCTTTTGCAGCCGAGTGCTCAGCATGGTGAACTCGGAGGATGTCAATGCCATCATTCTGGCTCAGAAGAATATGTAAGTGTTCAGGGGGGTTAACTAAGAATGACTACTTTTTTTGTATGTAAAGAGATCTGGTAGCATCTTTGAGACTCACTGAAAGAAAGAAGTTGGCAGCATGAGTTTTCATAGACTTAAGTCCACTTCCAGATGCATCTAAGGAAGTAGATTTAAATCTATAAAAGCTCATGTTGCCAACTTCTTTCTTTCAGTGAGTCTCAAAGATGCTACCAGATCTCTCTACATACTGACTCTACAGACTAACACAGCTATATCTTTGAAATCTACATCTTTTTTAGGAAACATATTTGAAAAGCATTGTACTTGATATATTAAAATTTAAATAAACTCTTTACTGAGTTGTAACTCTAGTACAGATCAGTAGATGATGTACATAATGGTGCTTTCCAGATGCATAACACCCCTCTTGGCACTATTTATTAGTTCCATTTCAAGTTGTGAAAATACTGATTCAGGACAAGTAGTTGAATTTTACTTAAAGGATGGGATGCAGGTCTGTGGGCACAGGAAATGTATTTTATTGTGTCTCAATTACTTGTGCTCACAAATTTTGTGAACTAGGAACACGGTTAGTAGTGCAGTCATCTGTTAGTCTAGTCCTCTGAACACTAGGGTTTGTCAATGCTTGACTACTTAGAATAATATCTAGGACTTAATATCTTGCATTTAGCCCATTTAATGTGATTGATTGCAATACAACAATCCAGACTGTGGATAAGCACGCACACATATATAAAGTGTGGGAAATTTTCCATGAAAAAAAAAATGTAGCATCAGGAAATTTCTGCCTCACATTTCTATTTGCCCTAGTCCTTGCTTTCCTCTCCCTTCATTTTCCTGACGTTCTGCATTAACCTTCCCTGTCTTTCACTGTCATCTCCAGAGAAATGGGAACTGCCTCCTTTTTATTTATTCCGCTTCTGTCTCTCCTGTCACAGAACCAGCCGGCGTGAACTTATCAACAAGGTTTTTAAAATGGGCAGCTTTTAGCTTGTGAACACAACTGAGAGGAATAGGCCACAGAGATTAATCCCTCTGGGTATGCTTCTGTCAAGCCAGGTATTGACAGTACCTGGCAAGCCAGACCTTTTTGTTCTCTGAATCCAAAATAAGCATCAGCCAGGGAACAGAGTTGTCCGCTTGGCTGCCTCATCACATAGCTTGCTAAAGCTTTTAATGTGTGGCTGTCTTGATATTTGATTTACCAGTTCAGGTACACCCATGATTCCAGTTGTAGTTTGGAGCCAGTTGTAGTTCGAGATCTGAATTTCAAGGATGCAACATCAGTGTCTTTATGCAAATGGATTATGTAACAACACCTTTGAGACTAACTGTGCAAAAGGAGTTGTAGCATAAGCTTTTGTACACTTGGTCTACTTCCTAAGATGCAGAAGTAGACAAAGTCTACGAAAGCTTATAGGCTACAACTTCCTTTGCACATTTAGTCTCAAAGATGCTACAAGATCCCTTTTGCATACTGATATCCCAGACTAACACAAGTGTCTCTGAATTCTACCTCCATCCGTGTCTTTTTCCATGATGGCTAGGAGACTCAGGAAACTGTAGCCCACAAAAGTAATTGGCTTGACTCAAATTCCAGGATCTTTAACCAAAGGACCTTGGGAAGTGCATACAGCATTTTTGTGCCAGTCTAGACAAACCACTTCCTTTTTTGTCCTAGGCTTGACCGGTTTGAGAAAACCAATGAGATGCTGCTCAATTTCAATAACCTGTCTGGTGTCCGCATGCAGCAGATGAATGAACGCTTTCTCCACCACACCCGGACACTGGTGGAGATGAAGAAGGACTTGGACAGTATCTTCCGGAGAATCAGGTGGGTTTGCTTCTCCATCCACTTTTGCTTTTCGCCCCCACCTCTTTCAGGGTTTTAGCTGAACCTTACTTCTCTGTTCCCTTCCTCAGAGAAAGCTCTCTCCAGAGGATCTCAAAATGAAAAAAGAAAACATTAAAATATTAAAACACTACATAGTTAAAGTACTCTGATACCACTTTTCATTGCTGTGGCTCCATCCTGTAGAATCCTGAGTGTTTGGTTTCCTCAGATATTTTGCATTATTGGCCAGAGCGCTCTGGTTCCTCACCAAATTACAAATCCTGATTCCACAGGATGCAGCCATGGCAATTAAAGCATTATCAAACTGCTCTAATTGTGTTAATTTGAAAGAGACTTTGGTTTCAATCCTTATAATAACTATCTCATTTTCAGTGGGAAGTATTTGGGGTTGGGTTGGTCTTGGAAAAGGTAATTAAGTCGCATTATCTTTACATAAGATATTCCTCTTTTAGAACTGGTTTCTTGATAGAGATCAGCTCTGTGGCCAACGTTCTTGTGCTCATCTTTCTGGCTTGGCTCTGGGGACTGTTGCAATGACATTCGGAATTTACCATTATACCACTGGTACATTTCTTGTTCTTTGCAGGACTCTGAAAGGAAAGCTAGCAAAACAGTATCCAGATGCATTTAGCAGTGAGTATGCTCAGTTTGAAGTTCTCTTTTTCTCTCAGAAACATTGCTGTACAATTAGTAATAGCATCAATCATTAATGAAAAACAAAACAAAACATGTTATGTAAGGTTGTTTAGAACACATTATAGAACACATCACACATTAAGTGGTTGTGATTCAGTTCTGGTGAAGGTGTGGCCCTCCAGAGGTTTGTGGCCCTCCACTGGCTTGGTAGGATGGGAGTTGGAGTCCAGCAACCTCTTCTAGATCATGCGATCTCTTTTGCAATCCTTGCTCAGTCTATTAAGTCGGTCCAAATTAAGTAGGTTGAAGATTGCAGGTTGAAGAAAGCTGAGGCTGAAAGAGTAGAACAGACAGATATCTCAATGCCTTGTAGAATTGTCATACCTGTAGCTTGGTTTTAGTTCTCTTGCATTACATATATCAGCTTAGGTCAAGACTGAGCAAATACCTTTCTTCAGTCAGACAGTTGATGCCAAGCACCTTACCCTTTCCACTTTGCCCTTGAGTTTTTTAATGCTCTTCCTCTGTCCTTTTCCTTTTCTCCTTTCCAGATATTCATGAATCTCCCATCCTGGAGGATGACGACTTCACCCCGATCCCCAAAAGCACGGCCACAACCATTGCTACCTCGGAGCAGAGCACCGAGTCCTGTGACACAAGTCCGGACATAATCTCTCCTGCCACCAGCCATGACTTTGAAGACCTATCCCAGGGTCCTTATGACTCTCCAGCCATGAATGGTCAGAGTGTCACAGATGATGACAACGAGATGGACTAGCTTGCTGGCTGAACTTTCAGGTGGGCCTACTTCCCCACTTGCAGCTGGATGCTTGAAATGGAGACCTTCCTGGTTTGTTTTTGTTTTTAAATCTGTATTTTCTGCATAGTCTTGATCAATGTTTTCTGTGACTGGGAGAAAAAGAGGTGAGCATGAGCGATGCGGCTTTTGCATGAAGCCACTGTCTTCCTGACCGTGCTGAGCTGTGATTTATGCTCAACTGGCAAAACCTTGAGTGGGCATCTCATATTTTCTGTAAAACCCAAATTGTGGGGATGATGGATGAGAGAGTCCAATCAAAATAGCTAGATTCTGAGCAAGTGGCAGGGAATTTCTTTTGGGGCTGTGCTGGGTTGGGGATTCTGGGAACTGTAATCTCAAAATAAGCTTTCTCCATTTCTGAACTAAGGGCTGCTTAGAAGCTTCAGATGAACAGCAGTCACACTTTGGACACTCACCTACACTTGTTGAAAATGCCTGAGTGTCGATACAGTCAGCCCAAACTCTATACTGTTATATAGAAAGAGCAAGCAGTTCCACCGAACATCCCCGCAATTCACAATTGGCTTTGTTTATTCTCCGAGGGGCAGTTAGTACATGAAATGCAACTCCCTGTTTCTGCTATCTTGGTAATACAAAGGGAGTTAATGTTCAGGGGCAAGTTCCCATTTGGAAGAGGAAATATCTTTCTCCAACCCCATCCCTTTGGTTTCTCTTTAAAATCCATGACCAAGCCTCCCAGCTTCATCCAAGCAAACCCACTTCTCTCCTTTGGAGCTCAGTTTGTTGTATTCCTCCATGTTCTCCATTCATGCATAGGACTGGAGCAAGTGAGGTGTCCTGGGACCTTTTTATTCCAAAGAACATACTCCCTCCATCCTGGAGTTTAGCCAAGCTCAGTTCCCTTTTCCCCATAGATCTGCTTAGTCAAGGTTCACAGTGCTCTGTCATCTCAATTGCCAGTTCTGCTCTGGAAATATCTTTCTCCTCGTGTGACCTCTTTGATCATCTAACGATGCACCTTATAACAACTGCGTAAAGGACTATGCGCCACTTGCATTTGCCTGCGCTGGCTTCTTACATGGAAGCTACTGACCGTTGCCTGTTGCGTGTCATGTTTAACAGTCCAAGAGTTCCTTCTCCCCTTCTGTTAAGACCTTTTACAACACCTTGTTACTGTAACGCCAGCGTGCGCCTATGTTCTCTGTTATAGTTTTTTAGGCCCTCTCTGTCTAATATTATTGGTTCCCTTTGCTGGACCTTGGTACAACTAAATGTGTTGCACGGAGGCTGGGGGCAGACTGCTTCCTCCCTCCACTGTCATCTCCTGAAATGCATTGTAATGCAAAGAAAAAGAAAAATATTTTTGTACTGCTACAAGTTTACAGAGGTGACTAAAGAAGGTAATAACCAATAAAAGATTTAAGTTAATTGATAGCTTGGATGTGGCTTGTCTTGTCTTTGGGAGAGCTGAGAGCATTAATTAATTGCATCTTTTAAAGATGGAAATTTGCTGGGCTAAAGGGGGAGAGAATGCAGATCTTTTAAATTTTAATATGCTTTGTTGTTGGCCTTCAAGTTGTTTCTGACTTATGGTGATCCTAAGGTGATAGAACCTATCACAGGGTTTTCTTGGTAAGATTTCTTCAGAGGGGGCTTGCCATTGCTTTCTTCTGAGACTGAGTGTATTTTGCCAAAGGCCACCCAAGGATTTTTTATGCCGAGTGGGGATTTGAACCTTAGCTAGTAGCAGCAATGGGAGAGCCATGGAATCTGTAGGGTTTACCTATGGTATATGTTAATTGGTCATTGAGCAATTGGTTCAACCCTATGGCTTGTCCCAATCTATCAGTTCAGCCATTGGTTCAAGCCAACTACTAGTTCCTCTCTAGTCAGGTCTGGCAATTAAAGATCCAAAAGTAACCTTTCCGAACTCTGTCCTGTGCACAAAGTCTTGCAGTGGCTTCTCCTATCCGGGAATACATCCCCCATCATCCAGACTAGCTATTATTACTGTTTATTCATAGAGTGCCATCAATTCGCAAGGCACTTTACAATCAATCAATCTTTATTGTACAGTCACAGATCATTGCGCTTTTCAAGTACAATCACCAAAAATAGGTGTTGTTGTTGTATGCCTTCGTTTCTGACTTAAGGTGACCCTTTGGTAAACCTATGATATGGTTTTCTTGGCAAGCTTCTTCAGTGGGGTTTTGTCTTTGACTTCCTCTGAGGCTGAAACGGTGTGACTTGGGGGTCTCCATGGCTGGGATTTGAACCCTAGCCTCCAGAGCCATACTCCAATGCTCAAACCACTGTGCAACGCTGGCTCTTATACTAATGATTAATTTTTCAGTACTAATAATTTTTGAAGGATAAGGAGGCACACAATCTATAATATATCTTATACGCATACAGAGGGAAGGTCTTGTAGCACCTTTCAATAACTATTGTATAAATTTATATTTAATATTTCATTTTTCCTTCCCTCTGTATGCGCATACAGATATGTTTTGGATTGTATGCCTGCTTATTCTCAGACACTATTTCAAAAATAATAATTGGTATTCAAAAATTAATTGGTATAAAATCCAACATGGCGTAGTGGTTTGAGCGTTGGACTGGGATACTGGGAGACCAGGGTTCGAATCCCCGACTCGGCCAATGAAACCCACTGAGTGACCTTGGGCGAGTCACACTCTCTCAGCTTCAGAGGATGGCAATGGCAAACCTCCCCTGAGGAAAAAACGTATGAAATATTAAACATAAAACTATACAATACAGTGATAAAAAGTGCTACAAGATGGCATAATTAAATAAAACGAGTTACCCATATTAAAAAAAACCAACCCACCACAGTACAAAATAAAGGAAAATAACCAAATACAAGTGGCCTGGGGTACTATATTGTTTTAAAGCATTTTAAGTTGATACTATTTGATATTTTAGCATGTAACTGGTTTTAATTATTGTATTCATTTAATTCTATTTTAAATGTACTATTTTTATATGTTTTTAATTGCATTGTTTTTTAATGTTGTAAGTCGCCCTGAGTCTCAGTCCTGGAAGAAGGGCGGGATGATGATCATGATAAAAATAATAATACATATCATTACATAAGAGTACAACACACGAGGAAACTTCCATTGCTTTGGTTTCCGCTTTATAAAACGAAAGCGAAACCGGAAGTCCCTTCTATGAGTTTCCCCTCTATGGCCTCCACTTTGTTTAAGTTCCTTTTCTGTGGGATAGAACGGAAGCGGCGGCGGCGGCCGCACATGCGCAGTTGGGCGTGAGGGGGACAAAATGGCGGCGGCCGGCGGCCCTGTGGAAGTGGCGGTGGTGTCGGCGGCCGAGGCTTCGCCTGGGACCGGAGGCGGCAGCGGCGGGTGCTGCTCGGTGTGGGAAGTAGGCTCCGGGGCGTCGGTGGCCGGCTACCGCGGGGGCTGCTGCGCCGCTCGAGGCCTAGCGCTGCTCGGCGGGGAACATCTCCTCGGGGCCCAGCTTGGGAAGGCCTTTGTGGGCGCCTGGGAGCTCCAGAGGAAGGTGAGGGAACGCGCACGCGCGCACTCAGAACTAAATGGGGACGCGCATGCGCGCACTCAGAATGGGAGAGCTACGCGCATGCGCGGCCTCAGCTGATGGAGAGCCAAAGGTGCATCTATAGCAATGATTCCCAAACTTTGGTTCTCTAGATGTTTTGCGTTTCAGCTCCCAGAATTCCTCCCCAGAATTCCAAGTAGGCTGGAGCTTCTGGGAGTTCAAGTCCAAAAGACCTGGAGGACCAGAGTATGGGAATCACTGATCTACACTGTAGACGTAATCCAGTTTGACACCGCTTTAACTGCCATGGCTCCATGCTGGGGAACCCTGGGATTTGTAGCAGGGTGAGGCACCAGGCCCCTTGGGCACAGATGGCGAAAGGCAAAACTACAACTCCCAGGATTCCCTAGCATGGAGTTGCCACACTTAAAAGTGGGGTCAAAAACTGCATTGTTTCTACAGTATAGATGCAGCTTTAATTCTCTTCGGTCCAAAACACACTGTGAAAATAATCCAGTTTGAGATGGCTTTAATTACCCTGGTTCAATGCTAGGGAATCCTAGGAACTGTAGTTTATTGTGGCACCAGAGCTCTGACAGAGAAGGCTCAATATCTCACTACAGCTCCCAGAATTCCCTAGCACTGAGCCAGGGCAGTTAAAGTGGTCTCAAACTGGATTATTTCTGCAGTGTGTTTTGAATCTTAAGGGTGCATCTGCACTGTAGAAATAATGCAGTTTTTAACACTACTTTTAAGTGCTGCAGCTCCATGCAACACACTGCAGAAATAATCCAGTTTGAAACTGCTTTAACTGCCCTGGCTCAGTGCTAGGGAATCCTGGGAATTGTAGTTTATTGTGGCACCACCAGATCTCTCAGACAGCTAAATGTCTCACAAAACTACAGTTCCCAGAATTCCCTCATATTGAGCCAGGACAGTTAAAGCAGTCTCAAACTGGATTATTTCTGCAGTGTGTTTTCGACCTTAGTTTATTTCTCTCCATGACACTTTCTCTTATTATTATTATCATCATCATCATCATTATTATATTGATATCTATCTCACTTTTCTACCAAGTCTGGGACCCAAAGCAGCTTACAGTCTAAAAAACACAATACAGTTAAAAAGCTACAAAACTGACAGTTAAAATGGCATTAAACACAATATTTAAGATCATTCATTTAAATTTCACAATAGGAACACTTCTGGGAACACCCCCAGAAGAAGACTTCCCTAGATGACCTTCCTATTAGGAACCATATTATTATATCCCCATAATATTATCAATGGAAAAACTAAGGCCAGAAATGTAGCTTGGATGAAGCTGCTTTGGAAAAGGACTTTAGTACAGTAAAGCCTTACACTGTTAAGATTTTAAAGAAAGAGTGCTATAGAAAGATAAAATAATCTTTCCACACATGGTTTGGAGTGCGCAGCTGCTCTTTCGCTCCTATTTTCTTTTGCTGAAAGAGATTTTTAAAAATCAAGCCCTTTAAGCAGCCAGGCATCCTGAGTGCTGTTCATCTTCCCCAGGGGGCTCTATATCCTCTTTCAGCTTTTCTCCTGGAATATACTTCACTACTCTGAAGTGTGTCTTTCTCTCCCTTTCTCCAGCTATAATCGCCTTAAACCTCCTACTTTCACTCTCTCTCTCGGATGTACTCTGATTACATTTCTAAGGATTTCCCCAGTATGGAAATCCTTATTTTTTATTCTTATTAAAATTGGTGGGGTGGGGGCATAGCAAAAGCATCCTCGTTCCTGATATGAAATGCTAATAGCCAAAGGCTTGGCCTATTTAAGAAAAGTTTCTTAAAATATAAGCTGTGAAGTTTCTGATGATTCAGTAGAGTCTAAAAACATACACTGATCTCAATGTGGCTCAGAAAAATGGCCTTTTATTTTAAACAGGTTGGTAGGTTCTGTTGTTGTGGTTGAGGGCCTTGAAGTCCTTTGCTAACTTATGGCAACCCCTATGGCGTATCACTTGCTTTTCTTGGCAGAATTTGTTTAGAGGAGGTTTGCCTTTGCTTTCCTCTGTGGTGAGAGGCTGGATTGGCCAAGGTCATCCAGTAGGTTTCCATGGCTGAGTGGGGATTCGAACCCTGGTCTCCTAGAATCCTAGTCCACCACAAATGTCAACACCATGCACTACACACAGCCTTGGAAACTCACTGGGTGATCTTGCTTAAGTCACACTCTCTCACCTACAA